TACGATTCCCAGCTAATAATGGAAACGTTGGCCAATTTATAATTATATTTATAACTGATGTAAAGAAGATTGAAAGCTACTTTTTATATATTTTTTCTTTCTTTTTTATTTTTTTGCTACTCTTTTTCCTTTATTTTTTTTCTTTCCCTTCCTTTTCCTTTTTTTTTTTTTTTGCTCTATTTCATTTTGCATTAGTCTTATTATGGATTATCTAATTATGGATTCTGGGGAGACTTAGTGCGGCCACATGTTTAGTGGATCCGTGTCCCTCCTGGTTAGTACTGGCTTCCCGGGAGGTTACACGAGGCTGGCTCCAGGGAATTATTAACGCTTCGTTGAGTGAGGGTTACTTCCCCATGGCTTTGAAAGAGGCGGTGGTGAGGCCTCTCCTCAAGAAGCCTTCCCTGGACCCGGCAGTATTAGCCAACTATCGTCCTGTCTCCAACCTTCGCTTCGTGGCGAAGGTTGTCGAGAGTGTGGCCGTGCGACAGTTTCCGCAGTACCTGGAGGAAACATCTTATCTAGATCCGTTCCAGTTGGGTTTCAGGCCCGGGCACAGCACGTAAACGGCATTGGTCGCGTTGGTCGATGATCTCTGGAGGGCTCGGGACAGGGGTTACTCCTCTGTTCTGGCCCTGTTAGACCTCTCAGCAGCTTTTGATACCATCGACCATGGTATCATGCTGCACCGGTTGGAAGAGTTGGGGATGGGGGGCACCGTGCTACAGTGGTTCTCCTCCTTTCTCTCAGACCGGTCGCAGATCGTGTTGGCAGGGGGGTAGAGATCGACCTCGAGGCCTCTTATATGTGGAGTGCGTCAGGGGTCGGTCCTCTCACCCCTTCTGTTCAACATTTATGTGAAGCCGCTGGGTGAGATCATCCGTGGCTTTGGGGTGAAGTACCATCAGTACGCTGATGACACCCAGCTGTACATCTCCACCCCAGGCCACCCCAACGATGCCCTTGAAGTGATGTCCCGATGTCTGGAGGCTGTGTGGATCTGGATGGGGAGAAAAAGGCTCAGGCTCAACCCTTCCAAGACTGAGTGGCTGTGGTTCCTGGCATCCCGATATAGTCAGTTGACTCCATCACTGACTAATGGGGGTGAGTCTTTGGCCCCTTCGGAGAGGGCTCGCAATCTGGGAGTCCTCCTGGATACGCAGCTGTCCTTGGAGGAACATCTGACGGCTGTTGCCAGGGGGACTTTTTGTCAGGTTCGCCTGATTTGCCAGTTGCGACCCTTTCTTGATCGGGATTCCCTGTGCACAGTCACTCATGCCCTCGTCACCTCTCGCCTGGACTACTGCAACGCTCTCTACATGGGGCTCCCCTTGAAGGGCACCCAGAGGCTCCAACTGGTCCAGAATGCGGCCGCACGGGTAGTCACGGGAGCTACTTGGCGCTCCCATATAACACCTCTCTTACGTGAGCTGCACTGGCTCCCAGTGGTCTTCCAGGTGTGCTTCAAGGTGTTGATTATCACCTTTAAAGCGCTCGATGGCATAGGACCTAGTTATCTTCGAGACCACCTGCTGCTACCGACGGCCTCCCATCGACCTGTGCACTCCCATAGAGAGGGCCTCCTCGGGGTGCCATCAGCCAAACAATGTAGGCTGGTGACCCCCAGGGGGAGGGCCTTCTCTGTGGGGGCACCTACCCTCTGGAATCAGCTGCCCCCAGAGATAAGGAGAATCCAAGACCTCGGTGCCTTCCACCGTGCCCTTAAAACTTTCTTTTTCCAGCAAGCCGGGCTGGCCTAACACTTTTTAAATGTTTTAATTGGTTTGTTACTTTTTTTAATTATGGGGCCAAATTTATATATATCTTTTAATGGTATTTTAATATTTGTAGTCTATGTTTTTACGTGGCTGTACACCGCCCTGAGTCCTTAGGGAGAAGGGCGGTATACAAATTCAAAAATAAATAAATAAATAATTATTGTGTTTCAAATTTTCAATAAATCATGTAAGGAAAAAGAGAATAGAAAGATTACAGCTGGCAATATTTTCTTAATTTTTAATACATAGTAAGTTGAACCAGTCCTACAAAACCCTTTTACAAGTGCTGCTACCATTGTGCAATTCAATATGAGCAATTGTCAGAAAAATATATTAATATATCAGCTCATATCATCAAATGTTAATTGTACAGTTAAAACAATTCTGTAGTTGATAATATCTACAGGGCAATTGGACAGTACCTGTACGATCTGTGCTTTATTTTTTGAGAATAGTTCAAATTCACTTAGACAGCGAGATGGGCAGTATATAAATTTTATTAATAAATTAATAAATATTGCCTCCCACAAATGTTGAATTACATTCAAGCCTGTCAGCTCAGTATTGTAGTCCATGAATATGAGAATCTGAGTTCCTTATTTTTGACTCTCAACAGAACATTTAACAATTCCCTAGAAAGTGAATTTAACAGCATAATTCATGAATTTTCAAATGCAAAAAACAAGCAAATTGACTTCTGCTTATTTGATGTACTTGGTTTGATGTATTTATATATTTGGTTTGATGTATTTATGTAGAGCAGGATTTTCATATTACATTACAATGAAAAGGAAGAACAAAAATCGTTTTGATGTTGCACCAGACAAAAGGATCCAACTCTTCAGTTTTGCTTCTAAGCAGATTTCTGATCAACTGAAGCAAAACATTTATCTCTGTAAAATTTTTGTTTCTTTGCAAACAAATGGCAGTCAGTGCACAGCACTTTGTTAGACACAGAACTGAAGTGGTTGTTTTGAATTAAAATGATTGGAATACTATTTAAAGCTCATTCCCATTAGTTTTTATTCAAAATTTCAAGTCATACTTTTTAAATTGTAACTCATTACTTTAAGTTATAATTCTACATTTTTCTTATCTATTTTTCTTCTGCTTTTTTTCACTTGTTTACTCTTTTATTTCTTCCTTTTCATTTTTTCCTTCTTGCTTTTAGTTTGTATTTTTTACTTGTTTTTGAAAACGTTCAATATTATGTTCTGAAAAAAGTTCTAATCAAGTACTCCAATAATATATTTGAATTTCCAAAAATGTTTCAAATATGTTTGAGAAATCCTGCACTTGTTAATCTGGGTTATGTATCCATAGCAGCAATGTTTCAGCAATGCCTTTTGTCTCTCAAAGAAGGAAAAGCATGTGTTGGATGAACTACTTCTTGCTGAATTAGTAAATTATTCTCTTGACAAATAAATGAAGTTGGGGGTAGGCTAGATGGACTATATTAAAGTAGTACTCTATTGCTAAATCAGATGGGATCAAGCAGCAATTGCAAAGTCTGTTTTAAAAAATCTTCAATTCCCATTCCATTGGTGTGAAGTTAGGCAACCAGACAGTAACGGATAACATCAAGTGGGCCCTTACTGGCTGTACTCCCTCCTCCAGTCTCCAGTAAGGCTTAACAATAGTATACAATATTCCCCTTTAGATTATGAAGCTGGATAGATGTTTTTAAATGCCAGCCTCACTGTCAGCAAAGATGACTGAGGAATTTCAGAATGTCTGACAGCAATTGAACAAGTCTTAGGAGAAGAAAAACAATCCTTTTTGAAGCTGCCCAAACCCAGACTCCTCTTTTGAAGGAAAACTTTAAAAGCTGTACCACCTTTGTTTATCCACACAGTAGGTGGCAACCACCAAGGAATTTCCTTCCTTCCATTTATTCCCTGCTACAATTGACAGGCCCCTACAGGAATACATAGTCCAGTTAAAACCATGAAAGAACCCTAATACTTGCAAATCTAAAGACACAAAAAAACCAAAAACACACCAATTCCCATATGCCCTCCAGAAGACCTCCATTTTCAACTGCCTTCAGAAGCAGCCAAAACTGAAGCTAACCTGAGTTCCAGCAGAGATCATTCCAGAGGCCAGCACAACTACAGAAAAATAGTGCTTTTCTGCCTCAGCCCTTCTCACTAAGGTGGGAAACCCTAGGGCCTAGGCTGTTTTTCTCAACAGATTCAAACAACTGGGTTGATTTTTGGCTGGTCTGACGGTAATAAAGATTTAATGATTTAGTGAATGAAAATGGTCTCAAAGAAACTTGGTGCTATGCCTGTCTCTAGTCCTCCCACAAGCCTTTCAACATTTAGCAAAGAAGAGGCAAGAGTTTCAGTCTGCAGCTATTAAGATTTGCCCTGATGATCGGATAGTCTTCAAAAGTGTTGTGTTGCTGAGCATACACAATATGTTCAAGCACAAGCTCCAAACATGACAGAACTCATTTTTCTTCTCTTCTGAGGATTTCTCACTCTACAGAGAAAGTTCTAGACATTTTTTAAAAAGAAAAGTACATTAGGCAATTTTTTTTTAGGATCAACCAGCTTTCTCCAGGAATTGACTGCCTTCAGTTTCACTTCTTGTCATCCTCCCACGTTATTTGCATATTAATGCTTATGTGGGAGTCCATGAAGGTAATGAAATTATACACATACATACAAATCTACACAGTGTATAGTATAAATATTACACATTATACTACACAGTCTCCGTGACTGATTTATTGATATAACATCATCTTAATTGTGAAAGGGATCATAAAGTTAATTATGGGGCTTCAACACTGTGATCCTTAGGTAAGAATAAGCCCAAGTGAACATACCCAGACATTCCATTTTAAAGATGAAAACTTTAATTGTGTAGTATTATTGCATTATTCCACCTTTTCCCTTTCCCGTTGTTCGTTTTTTAGCTTTTATTTAGTTTAATATTTTGAAGATATATGGGTTTTCAATAATAGTTTAAACAAAATTAGCTTTATTCTAGTTTTAAAATCTCAACAATTATTTTAAATGTTAAAAAAATCACTTTCAATTCAGTTCAATAGCCTTCATTGTCATTCTACATCATGTATATAACGAAATTGGTTTAGCCTCTACTGCAATCCATAACAAAAAACAAAAACAAAAAACAACATGAATAGTATAGAGAATAATCCTTATGCAAGTAATTGGGGGAAAAAAACTAGTCATAGGTTTCCGTACGTACGTGGAGTGATTGTGTTTAGGAGTCTGACAGCCCATGGGTAGAAGCTGTTTTCAAACCTGTTTGTCCGGCTGGCTATACTTCGGTGTCTTCTGCCCGATGGTAAAAGTGAAAAAAGACACTAACCAGGGTGTGAATCATTCCTAAATACCTTCCTTACTCTGCTGAAACAAGACAAATTTATTGCTTTGGAGTGACATTGGATTCAGGAGAACATTTTTAAAAATCATATTAAATACAAATAGAACTAATATTCGGTGACTGGCTAATTAATTATAGAGGAATTAATCTTTTTAAAACTATAAGTACAAAGTATAAAAGTACTCTATTAGATACACTCAGCGCCAGTTTGATATAGTAGTTAATGAAGGCATCAGGCTAGAAACCTAGAGACTGTGAGCTCTAGTTCTGCTTTAAACATAAAGCCATCTGAGAAATCTTGGGTCAGTCACTTTTTCTCAGCTGTAGGAATGAGGCAATGCAAACCAGGTCTGAAAAACCTTGCCAAGAAAACTGCTGGGACGATTGAACAGAAGAAAAAAAAATAGATACAACACATCAATGGACATTTTAATTTTTAAAAAAATCTTCAGCTTACAGCATTACAGGTAGTCCTCGATTTACATGTTCATGTAGTGACCGTTCAAAGTTACAATGGCACTAAAAATGTGACTTATGGCTGTTTTTCAGTTACGAACTTTGCAGCGTCCCCATGATGGGATCAAAATTAGAATTGTTGGTAACAGGTTTGTATTTATGACCTGTATTGTGTCCAGGATCATGTGATCACCTTTTGTGACCTTCTGACAAACAAAGTCAATGAGGAAGCCAGGTTCACTTAACAACCTGGTTACTAACTTACCAGCTGCAGTGATTCACTTAACAACTGTGGCAAGAAAAGTTGTAAAATGGGGCAAAACTCACTTAAGAAATGTCTCACTTATAAACAGAAATTTTGGACTCAATTGTGATTGTAAGTTGAGGATTACCTGTACTATTACACATTAACATATTGTTTATTTAGCTTCTTCAACAATTTTTAAAAGGAACTTCTAGGATGTAGCAAAATCAGATAGCTGCTGATCCATATTTCACAGAAGTTTTATAAACGAAATGTAACTTCATGCAACTATCTGTGCTCCCTTGTACATTTCCTAGAATAAGGACTCAGCTCCTACTGAATCAAGTGTGCACATTAACACTATGCACATGGCTCATTAAGAGACAATCATCTATTGTGAGCAGGACTTTTCTCCCCCACACCCTCGGCAACAAGTGGTTGGAACTATCAGAGTTCCAACCATTTGTTGGCATACAAACACAGGGATAGATGTTTGCACTTGGCAGCACATGGAACCATTGATTGGAGATCCATGTTGACACATTTTTACTTTTGTGTTCTCAATTCCAGGTCCTTGGTAAGGATAATTTTGAATGTGATTGTTACCTTTATGGTTATACTGAAGTTCAACAAACTTCTGTCAAGAATTAGCTATGTAGTACAAAGAAGGAAAATAAATTTTCAGTTCTATTTTGATCGTTACAGACTTACTTAGATACAGGTGATGCTGGGAGTCAGGCAGCATATAAATTAACTTATCAATTAGATTTTTAAATGCTGTAAAAACAACAGGATTGAATTTTGATGAATGGATATTACGTTACTCTAGGAAGAGATTCAACTGGAAAGTACCCATAGCAATCAGTATCACCAGCTGTGGTGGCAGCAAACACACAAAAGGCTGTTAAAAACAGGTGCTGCTGCTGGGTAAGAAGTGGCTGATTACTTCTTCTTTGTTAAAAAAAACTGCATTAAATTTATGTAGTTCTTAATTAAAGAGTAAAGAGCTTTTAGAAAAAAACTGAAGTACCTAATCACTAACACTGGCATAAGCAGGGAATTAACTGTAATACTAAATTAAGAATATGATAGAGATCAACATATGTATTTTCAATTAAAACTAGACAACTCATGCCCAATTGGGTCATCATTTCAGAGTTACTTCCTCACCTAAACAGAAAAACAGAATGATCAACAGTGAATCAACACTGGGTAAAAAAACAGTGGGAGAAGGAACAACATTCAACTTCTTGCCAGCTTCATGCTCAGTTTCCTTGAGGGAATCTGACATTGGCATTGGAAATCTTCCTCTCTTCCCTTCCCAGCAGGTAGGTAAGTGGCTGATGTCTGGTGAGAAAGGGAGTGAATTATTGTGATACTGGATGGGTAACTGTCACAGAATATTGAAAATAAAGAGTTCCATGACCACAGCAGCAGCCAATAACACTGAAGCAGTGATGACTTTCCTGAATTTCATTCCCTTGAGAGTCATAACTTCAACTTCCAAGACTATGGATATATTCTATTACTTAGTCCATTTGAGATACTTTAATTTTTTAAAAAATATTGCCCTGTGATACATCATTTTGCCCAGTTAAAGGTCATAAGTGCTTGAGTAGTATGTAGATATGATAGTTTTATGAGCCTCTAGCACAAAGTATATCTAAATTCTAATCTTAAAACTGCGATTACAACTACAGTATCCAATTGTATTTTGTTAATACATTAATAGGCTAACAATGTATGCTTTGGACTTCACAGGAGCACAGCACACCTCTGTTATTCATGAAAGCAACTCCCTTTTCCTTTGTCCATGAGACAGAAAAAAGATGCAGCTGTTTTAAGTCACACTGGCTCCACACTGGGTGCCAAACCTGCCGCATCACACCATCATGTGACATGTCATTTTCTCCATTGAGTTGGGTGGGCATGGCCTGCGTGTGACGCATCCGGCCTGTGGGCCGCCAGTTTGACAACCCTGCCTTAAAGCAAAGGTGGGAAATGATGGCTCTTTTATGACTTGTGGACTTCACCTGGTCAAGAATTCTGGGAGTTAAAGTCTACAAGTCATAAAGGGGCCATTGTTCCCTACCTAGGCCTTAAAGTAATGATACCGTTTTTGGCTCACAGATACTTTTTAAAAAGAGGCATTCTTTTAATGGCTAACACAGAATTGCCATGTTCATGTAAGGTTCACATGACTCAGAAGCTGGCTGGGAAGGTTGCAAATGGCATTCTCATGACCCTGGGATGCTGCAACTGTTGTAAATACATGCTGGTTGCCAGGCGCCCAAATTATGATCACATGACTGTGGAATTGTTGCATCAGTTGTAAGTATAAGGCCAGCTGTCAGTCCCTTTTCTGATACTGTTGTAACTTTGAATGGTCACTAAATGGATGGTTGTAAATCAACGACTACCTGCACATGGATTCAAATATAAAGGTGGGGTCACAAAAAAAATCTACTTTTTTATCTTCCCCTACCATGTGTTTAGGAAATGTAATATACTCTAGTTCTTTAAGCTAGCATTCTAATAGAAGAGTGCTTCAGCTGCCAATTTTTAAAGATCTTCTCTTCATTCACCCAATTTTCTTTAGAACTGTTAACTACAACGAAAAAAAATATTGTTAATCAGCTTCCTTTTCAGATATCCTAAGGCAGAGGTATCAAACTCGCAGCCTGCGGGCCAAATGTGTCACGTGCTGGCCACACCCACCCCAGGTTTAGCGAAGGGAAAAAAATTGCAAAAAGTCACGTAATGACATGTCGTCGCGAGCTTGACACCCGTGTCCTAAGGCATCTTTTCTCATGAACTTGGATAATTATAAAACAGCAGAACACTTTTATACATATGCAAGATGTTTCTTTGGTTCAATGACATCAAAGAAATTAGAAGGAAATGGGGATTATTTCAAGATGGGAAAGGGGAGAAGAATCTAAACCTAAATCCAAAATCTATATGTCATTACACACCAATTCACATTGAGACTCTCTATATAGAGTGTTTTTAAAGCAATTAAGTAACAATTCATTCCCCCCAGACTCTTAGATTACAAAATGGGGATAGGAAGTTGCCAATTTATCAAAAGTATTTATCAAAAATATTTCTTCCCATTTTAAAAGAGCTAGTAATGATTAAAACAGACTATTCAGCTAGACCACTTAGATGTTAATGATATTAACAATTCCAGGGCAATTACGTCAAGAATTATCCTACTGAAATCACTCAGTGTAGCAGCAGTGTCTCTCAGCTAGATAAAGATGTCCAGGCATCTTAGCAGAATGCCTTGAAGAAGTTTTGAAATAGAGCAGCATGTAAATACCATAACAAATCTGCATAAGCTGGTAACTTCTGCAGCAAATTTTAAGTTATTGATAACTACAAAAAATGTTTATGGGGGATGTCCTTTGCTTGTGGCCAGGATTATTTTTCTTTCTTGTTTAAAATAATTTTTATTAAATATATTTTCAGCAAAATAAAAATAATGCAAATTTTGAATTGAAGAGAAAAATAAAAAAAAATAAGCTAAAAGAAAAAGCAAAGAAAGAAAAAGAAAAAAAGTGGTTTCCAATCTTCTTACAGGAGCTACAAGTTCATTTATATCTTACTCTCTCTCTCTCTCTCTCTCTCTCTCTAAGGTTACATAGCCAGGATTATTTTTCAACTGAGCATAAATCAGTATCATGTCACCATCATTGCTCTAATTGGCCACAAGAAGCTCTGGAATCTTGTAAACCAGTTAAGGAAGCCCAAAGAGATTGGCTTCTAGAATTCTTCCCAATTATTTAAAAATAGTTCTGCTCTGGTAAGGCAGACAGAGGTGGATTTAAGAAAGCAGTTGGTAGCACAGGGACACACAGGGTTTTTTCCCCTTGTCAACGCCTGGCTAGATCTGGTCTAATCTCCAGTGTGATATTTCTTTTGCAGTTTTTCCCACATCATCAATTTGGACCCATTTTTTTTATAGTCATCCTATATTCCTTTACACAATTTCTTCCCATTGTTCTATTGGTCTGAAAAGAACAAGCAAGTCAGGAAAAGCCTGCAGAGCGTAACTTTTTCAATTATTTCTAATCCCTTTACCAGCAGTGGCCATGTAGAAGGTGTCTGGATTATTTTTTATGTGACAAAGCAGTCTGTTGTATGTACATTTCTGCAAGTCACTACTCAGCTGTCTCAGCTGGTTGGGGGAAAGTTGTCTCCCTTTTTTCAGTTTTTAGAGAATTATTCTGCTGGATAGCCAGATTCCAAAACTCCTCTATATAATTTCTTCCCAACATTATTAGTTTGGAAAGAATAAAAGGCTACAATCAAAGGAAGAAAAAAGTGAGAACAGGCAGAATACTTGAATAGGTTATCTGTCAGTTTCTTTGGAAACAAAGAACCTTTTGCCTTAAAACTCAACAATGTACAGGATAGAGTTTATAATACATATTGTGCTCTATATAAACAAGCACATATGATGGCATGACACTAAGAACAGCATAAAAAAATATAAATACAGTAAGCTTTTTTTTGTAAAATAATTTACAAAATTATTTTTGTAATTATTCAATTAATTATTCAGCATTTACACCTTTAACATCTTTGTTACTTTACAGCTTTCCGATACCAGCATCTTTGGTAATATCTTTTAACCAACTACAGGTGAAACTCAAAAAATTAGAATATCGTGCAAAAGTTCATTTATTTCAGTAATGCAATTTAAAAGGTGAAACTAATATATGAGATAGACTCATTATATGCAAAGCAAGATAGTTCAAGCCTTGATTTGTCATACTTTTGATGATTATGGCTTACAGCTCATGAAAACCCCAAATTCACAATCTCAGAAAATTAGAATATTGTGAAAAGGTTCAATATTAGGCTCAAAGTGTCCCACTCTAATCAGCTAATTAAGCCATAACACCTTCAAAGGGTTCCTGAGCCTTTAAGTGGTCTTCAGTCTGGTTCAGTAGAAATCACAATCATGGGAAAGACTGCTGACCTGACACTTGTGCAGGAAACCATCATTCACCCCCTCCGTAAGGAGGGAAAGCCTTAAAAGGTAATTGCAAAAGAAGTTGGATGTTCCCAAAGTGCTGTATCAAAGCACATTAATAGAAAGTTATGTGGAAGGGAAAAGTGTGGAAGAAAAAGGTGCACAAGCAGCAGGGATGACTGCAGCCTGGAGAAGATTGTCAGGAAAAGGCCATTCAAAAGTGTTGGGGACTTTCACAAGGAGTGGACCGAGGCTGGATTCAGTGCATCAAGAGCCATCACACACAGACGGATCCTGGACATGGACTTCAAATGTCGTATTCCTCTTGTCAAACCGCTCCTGAACAACAAACAACGTCAGAAGCGTCTTACCTGGGCTAAAGAAAAAAAGAACTGGTCTGTTGCTCAGTGGTCCAAAGTCCTCTTTTCTGATGAGAGCAACTTTTGCATCTCATTTGGAAACCAAGGACCCAGAGTTTGGAGGAAGAATGGAGAGGCACACACTGCAAGATGCTTGAAGTCCAGTGTGAAGTTCCCACAGTCTGTGTTGATTTGGGGAGCCATGTCATCTGTTGGTGTTGGTCCGCTGTGCTTCATTAAGTCCAGCGCAGGTCAGCGCAGCCATCTACCAAGAGATTTTGGAGCACTTCATGCTTCCTTCCGCAGACGAGCTTTATGGGGATGCTGACTTCATTTTCCAGCAGGACTTGGCACCTGCCCACACTGCCAAAAGTACCAAAACCTGGTTCAATGACCATGGGATTACTGTGCTTGATTGGCCAGCAAACTCGCCTGACCCGAACCCCATAGAGCAGTGGTTCTCAACCTTCCTAATGCCGCGACCCTTTAATACAGTGCCTCATGTTGGGGTGACCCCCAACCAGGGTGGGTTCTAAATTTTTTTACTACCGGTTCTGTGGGCGTGGCTTATTTTGTGGGCATGGCTTGGAGGTCATGTGATTGGGCGGGCATGGCTAGCTGGTCATGTGACCGGGTGGCCATAGCTATGTGTATAGGGACTACTCAGAGGGCTGAAAAAAGTCATTTCTGACAGGTCCTCACACTTTTGACTGGTCCTCACATTTATTTATTTATTTATTATATTTCTATACTGCCTTTCTCCCATAGGACTCAAGGCGGTGTACAGTCAAGAAAAATATAGTCACACAAACATCATAAAATTGCTAATTAAAATTATTACTTAAATATTAAAAATTATTATTATTATTATGACCATCCTCACATTTATGCCCGTGCAGCATTCTTAACAACCATGTCATTCATTTCACAACTGCTTCTTTTCACCATGGTGATAAGATAGGGCAAAAAACGTAAAATGTGAGGATAGTCGTAAATTCAAGGACTGGTCAAAAGTGCGAGGACCAGTCAAAAATAACTTTTTCAGCCTCTGAGTAGTCCATATGCACAAAAGGACTACCCAGAGGGCTGAAAAAAGTGATTTCTGACAGGTCCTCGTACTTTTGACCGATCTTCGCACTTATGACTGATCATCATTTCAAGGTTTTGGTTACCACCTTTAAAGCTCTCCATGGCTTAGGACCTGGTTATCTACGGGACCGCCTACTACCACCAATAGCCTCCCACCGGCCAGTACGCTCTCATAGAGAGGGACTCCTCCGGGTGCCGTCAGCCAAACAGTGTCGACTGGCGGCCCCTAGGGGGAGAGCCTTCTCTGTGGGGGCACCTACTATCTGGAATGAGCTCCCCCCGGAGAT